TACAAGCCAGAGAGAGGGAGAGAGGGAAAGAGCGAGAAGCGGAGAAATGAAGTATACACAAATAAATTGAATGCGAGTGCTAACTTTAAAAGCATCGCAGCAAACATTGTGTGCCGTGCGAAGGCAAATAAAAGCAAATGCAAGGAAAAATCCTTCAGGAAATTGAGAACATTTTTTATTCGCAGCACTTTTCTACTTCTTCTTTTTGTTTGCCGTTGTCTTTTTCTACTTATTCGTTGTCGTTTCTCTTTCGGCACTGTCTGCGTGTGTGTGTGTGTGTGTGTCTCATGACTGCAATCGTTGTTTCCATGCAATTTTTTTCACTCTCATTTCCTTCTTCACGTTGACGGTGTTTTATAGCGCAGAGTGTATGCATTAAGCGTTTTGGATGCATGTGTCAAGGTAATTGAAAACGGCATAAAACTTACACACACTCATTGTCGGCAGAGCCAACACACTAAATTGATAGAGAACGACAGCATTTGGTGCAGGAATATGAGTGTAAAACACACATCAAATAATAGCAGTTTAACTGGTGCGATGAAGAGCCAGAGCGAATAAAAGCGAGAGAGAAAGAGAAATACCGAAGAGAGCGGCAGAGAGTGAGAGAAAGAATGCGATGTCTTGGAACACAAAGTAAATGACGTTTAAACGTTTTAATAAGGAACTTTCGCGAGAAACGGGATTTACGCCACCGTGAATGCTTCTTTGCATGTAAAATAAATGTAGTTTAACGGTAAGTTACGATTCCTGGCGTTTTATTACAGTTTGCATTTTTGATCGAGCACCGGGAATGGATAAAAACCAACACACGACTCGAGAGAGAGAGAGAGAGAGAGAGAGAGAGAGAGAGGGAGAAAAAAGAGAAAAAAGAAGAAAGAATGTGGCAAGCATTTAGTCTCATTTATTTTCGTTCGTTCGTTGTGCAACGCCCTCAAAACGAAATACCTTTCCTTTCAACAAATTTCGAATCCAATATTCTTGGGCTCGTATTTTTGTGTGTGTGTGTGTGTGTGTGTGTGTGTGTGTGTGTGTGTTTGAATTCGGGTTTTTTCTCATACCGAACCCATGATATTCGGTGTCATTTTTTTGATTATATAAACACATCCATGGTGAAAATGCCATGCAACCAGGTATATATGTTCACAACGCACGTATTAAATGAATCAGAAATTATGCAGGAAAAGGGAATTTTTCATAGCATTCATCAGTGCTTTTTTTGCTCTTTCCTCTTTGCCGATCTCTTTCACACAATTTCGGAGCAGTACGACTGTTCTGGTGGAGAATGAAAGGTAAAATATGGATACTTATAATCGTTTTATAAAGACGGATGGTCTCGGTAATAATGATGCCGGCACAATAGAAGCTAGAAAGAAAAACCGTTGCCTCGAACCGAACACAGCCTCTCCTTGTGTGCAAAATGTGAAACGATGATAAATCGAGCTGATAATTTGGATTGTATTAACGCAGAAAAAAATGAAAGCGAGAAAGAGAAAAGGCGTCTCACGTGCGTCGAAATAAATCGAAAAGTAAATTGAAATGGAGTCGTCTACAAATGGCCATCACTGCAGCTCATGTCCTTGTTGCTACTGCTGTTGTTGCTGTTGCTGCCGTTGTCGCCGTTGCCATGTGTGAATGGTGTCCGAATGAACGATGGCAAAATGGCACACAATATGTTAATTAAATCAATATTTTTGAATGATAGACACAAAAAGGGCGTCAAACTGCTTTTCCCACTATTTTAGCCTGCATATATAAGATATTGTTATAATAATGATGCACATTTAATTGGTATGGCATCCAGTCAGCCGGTTACAGCAGCTTTTTTATATATAGAACAATCTGCAGAGTAATGATTCAAATGCTAAAGCAAACCGAATTGCGATTGTGGTCGGCATTCCAATGTGAATTATTTCAGAATCCAACTAAAATATACACTGAAAATGGAATCATCATCGATCATTATCTTATCGATTTGTGAAAACTATGTTTTCGAATAGACAACGATATGAAATACGGAGCAACATTCAACAGAAAATACCTTTCGACCGGTGAGAATGCGATAGCAGTTGCAAACAACCACCGAGAAACAAGAATGACGAAACTCTGGCTCTGCACTTCGATGAAGTTTCAAAAATATTGAATAGCAATTTTTCGTACACTCTTTTGGTTTTGCGTCGAATGTGCATATTGCCTAGGCCACTTTTACTGCCGTGGCATTCTTGGCATTGCTCGTATTGCTTTTGTTGTTGCTTTCATAATTCAATTGCGTTGCCGTTTGTTCTTCAAACATAACCATTTCCCCAAGTGGTTGCTTGACTCGCACGATTCATCACCACGCTCTCTAAACCTATGTGCGGGAATTGTGAACAAAAGTCGAATTTATGTTTCGGTTTTGGGTTGAATCGACTAATAATTCTTCTATTCGTTTCGGCTGGCGAGTACACACGCGAGAATTGGTTTTATGTGCCATTTTTCTTTTGGCTGATACTCTTTTTTCCGTTTCCCCTGCCTTGACTTGGCTTTTCATTTCACGCCGTCGTCGTTGCCGTCGTTTCGCTCTTCCCTTAGAACCACGCAAGCCGTTTCCGTCTTGTTTTCATAAACCATAAATGTGTTCATAATATCGCAATATGCTGTTCGCGAACAAAGTCATAAAATAATTTAATACCCATTTTTCTTCAATTTTTCTCATTCCTCTCTAATTTTCTTCTCTCTCTCTCTCTCTCTCTCTCTCTCTCTGTGTGTGTGCTGTTATTTTTTCTGTATTTGATTCTTTCGGCTCTTTGATATTCTTTTGTTTTCATTCTTCTGCCGCTTGGAATTTTTTCCTTGTTCTACTGCTTCGTCTTTGAATTTTAATTCATTCGCTTATAGCCGAATAAATAAGGCTTTTGTGTTTAACATTTCGTTTTTTTTTCTTTTCGTCGCTCTCTACACCGTGGATGTGTGTATGTGCTATTCTTTTCTAATATATTTCGCTTTTTTCCACAGCTCTTGGTATAATACGATTTTTTTCTCTTTCCTCTCTCTCTCTCTCTCATTTCAATGTCTCGCTTTCACTTGTCGACTCTCTCCTGATCCGCTTGCTGATTGCGTGAAATGTATTTAAGAACTGACTATTGGATTACGATTTCTTTTTGTTGTTCGCTGGCTTTCATTCGGAAGCGCTTTTCTTCCTTAAAAGCATTAAAGTATTTAAATATAGAGACATACACACAGCAGGCATTTTCTATGTTACTTTTCCGTCGGTGGCACTTTCCTTCATTGGTTTTTCTTTATATTTACCATCGCTGATTCTTTCTTCGATTTTCTTCTTCAATTCGGACGGTGAGTGAGTTCAACCCTTTCGGATTTTAGTCGTTGCGAATGATTTTTTTAAATATACAAACATCAACCCCGAGCACAAATATACAATACACACACACTAAGTTCATACCCACCCAATCCCATGACCAAATAAAATGACTTGGAAATGAAATTAAATGCCCACAAAGAAATGGTCAAAATGTGACGTCAAGTAAATAAAATATATTTCAAGGTATGTGACTGTTGATTTTCCACTTGGTAACGATGTTGGGTTCGACCAAAAGTGAGCCCATACACAAGAGAAAGTGAGGGGGAGAGGTAGAGAGAGTGAATGAATCGGTGGGAGACGGTTAAGTGCAGGGAATTTTATTTTTGTGACCGGTTGTGAAGCTTATTTTTTATCGTTTGTTTTCGTACATTTCAACTGACCATTGTATAAGTGCGGACAAACATACGATCCGCTAAGCACACATACACACACCAGATATAAAATGATTTTATTCCTTAATTTACATTTCAGATGTGGTAAAAAGTCGGTTAGTCGTACGACAGCGAGAAGGAAAAGTGTTGACCACCAACCAGCAGTGGAAAAAAACATCAACAACTGGGTACGAAGTGGAAAAATTATGAAATAGCCAAATGAACGCGCGTTCACCGTATTTTATTGGTTTTGAAGAGGTTATTCGCTGGTTTAACTCCGTATATATAAAAACCATTGCATTTGACGGTAATGTTATTCGCTGTTTTTTTTCCTGCCCATTCCATTTTCATATACACATATTTTCGGCCGACTGTACAGTGTACACACACACACACACACACTCAGCTCTTTCTGCACGAGCAGAAAAACAAAGCTCAAAAGACATAAAAGCGCTACGCGGGACTTCTTGACCGGAATTTTTATGATTATGACTCACAAGATCTTTCCGTTTTTCGCACAAACAAACTCACACACACATATCCAGTCATAATGCAATGGTTAAACAAAAAACCGTCCACCACCACCACCATTCATATCATTGGATGATATACATATGCGTACATGGTATTAAACGCGCTTGCTGTCGGCAAAAACTCCGTCTCATAAATTAAGTGGCATAAAAACCACAAACACACAGTGCGAGTGAGAGGAAGGAGTGAGTGCGGCAGTCGCGGAGCTAAACCACGACGATTACATTCATACATTTGCTTTTATTTTTGTTTTTATATTGCCATTTGTTCCTTTCATTCCAGTGGCAATGACTTCATTTTTTTCCAACAATTTTTTTTTTATTTTTATTTTTTGTCGGCGAATTTTATGTAGATTTTCGAATTGTGAAAATACAACATAAGAAGAATGTTGTTCAAGTGAAACAATTCGTGAAATAAAAACATTGTTCACGAATCACGCAAAAATTGTACAGTGTTGAAATATACAAGCGGAAAAAAGGGAGATGATGATGATGACGATGAAAAACAGCTAGTAAGTTCGTATAAACGTAAAAACATGATGGAAATAAAAGTGACGACGGAAATGAGAGGTTGTGAACTGAATTCAAGCGACCGTAAACTCAAGCAAAATGACATAATAATGAGCAATAGAACAATAAATTCCATGAATCGGAATGGAAATGTGTGCATTCCGTGAAGTAGAGCAAAAGTAGCTCGGACTTGAAAACAGAGAATGAAGATGTTTTTAATGATGCACTTACCTAACAAAAAAACTTCTCGACTATCGGTCAACGGGGGCTTTCGTTGTGCATGGTTTGTTTTCCTATTGCTGTTGTTGCCGTCGCCGTTACTGTTGCCATTCCCATTTCCACTGTATGCGCTTTCGCGCGCCTCGGCCGCATTTCCCTCCATACTGTGGATTGGTATCAGCGGCGATATGCTTGTCAAGCATTTTACACGCATCAAACTATCCTCAAAATGTGAACTATCCAATTGCATGTGAAGACCCAAAACCGTTGTCACCAACCCATGCTGGTGCACAATCGGTGGATACGCTATCACTGATGAATCGTACACCTGTTTTATTTTCATCGGTTTTTTTTCAAATAAACGCACCAATCACCACCAGATAAACACAATGAAATGAAAGTGTAGAGAGAAAAAGAAAACATTTCATTGGCACAACTTGAATCGGCAAATGGAAATCAATATCTGACACAGATGCTGGGCGCAACCAACTGCTTGACACTTGCAACTCGGAACAAAACACACAATGAACATTGTTCATTGAACATGTGTATCGTAAAAAATTAAATATAAATTTATTCTAAAAAGCCGGCAGAACGATAAATAATGATTTATGCGCGCTATCGTCCAAAATATGGTAGCGAACAAAAAAAGGTATATAGAGACCGAGTGCTGCAGATGAAATGCGCCAGCAACTGAACGAGTATAAAAAACAGTGTAGAGAGCAGTTGGCTACATGGCATTTGGCGAACAGCAACATATCTATTGTCGAACAAACAACTTACCGCTATATCATTTATGAACCATTGTATCGAGCTGGAAGGATGCGATTTGCCCGATGTGCAATTGATATTTAATGTATCACCTATTTGATATTGGCTTTGTTCACCACTTATGTGTGGACCCTCTCGAGGTAAATCTGCTCCATTATGCATGGATTACAAATAGTCAAAAAGGGAGAGAAAAAAAGAAGTGAGCGAAAACTGACATTAGAGAAGCGAATAAAAGGAAAAAACTACAATCTATACACTTTTTTCTCCCTATATGTGGGTGTAGGTGAGTGAGTTTTTTGGTATCGAAATGGCATTTATTATGCATCATATTGTATGTATAGCGCGGAAAATGCTTTTTCTCTGCTGGTTCTGGTACTGCCGCTTGGGATTTTCTATTTTCTATTCCAATCTAAATTTAAATCATGTAAAAAATTCACAAACCGTTTTCCGTTCGATGTTGAGGTGGCTTGCATTACGAGTGCGATCACAGAGTGATAGAAACATTCAACTAATGGAAATATCAAATGGCAAAGAGCGCTGAAGATTACGTTCGACATTTAATTCGAAACTACTAGTTTCTTTTTTTCTCTCGCTCAACTCTCTAGCTCTGTTCTGTCGACGGGTGGAAGCGACAGTTCGAACTTCTGGCCCTCTATCGACTTAATTTTGAAGCATTCTGTCATATTCAATACACGACACTTGACAGCCATTGACAGTTCATGTTGTACACATTGTTTACAAAACAAGATAGCAACTAGTGAAAATTAACTGATTTTCAGGACTGAAATCAATGAGTTATAAAAGGGGCAGCAAATTTCAAATGTATTCAGATTTATTTTAAATAACTTATTTAAACGTAAAAATCGCATAGCGGTCACCAAATCGAATATAATAGAAATTATAGCCAAACAAATGAAAGAACGTATTACTCAAAAAAAAGCCGATGTTAGTTCTCAAAAACAGTTGTAGAGGGCCAGAATGATGAACATACATTTCTATAGTTTCAGTACAGAAATACGGAAATGCTTCCACCCGTCGTGTTCTGTGTGGTATTAATAAATAATTGCGCATTTATTTTAATTTCGCTGTACCGATGAACTGAACAGATTTGTGCACCGATTACTCGATGTTCTCTCTTGCATTTCCGATCGGATTTTTACTACGTTTTTCCACAATTTTGCCGATTGTACATGAAATGAATTCTACAACTAAACATTTTATCCACGGAAGTAGCGCTTTTTTTCCATCATTCTCTCTCGTTCTGGATGAGCACACATTTGTGATAAATCGAACATCAGAAAAAAAACAGCAACAATCAACAACATTCAGAGCTTATCTTTATCTTACTGTGGGCGTACATTTGTGCTCTTCGGGCTTGTGTGTTTTTTCTGTTGTTTACTGAATTCGATGACAGTTTATTACAAAGCATATGCAGCGGAAAAAGCGGTTTAGGCCCACAGATAAAACAAAACTATGCGAGGGATAAAATTGTGTTTACGGTCGCCGCTAAGGGACTTGGATTATTGAATTTTAAACGATTTGCGCATTGTAATAAATTCCCATTCGTAAAGTTGACTATGAAAAGCGAGAAGTTTTTCCATTTCTCCAAAACATAAAATATCATAACAAACATGTTGGGTTACGAGTTGTGTCGATATTGCGGGCACAAGTGAGAAGTCGTGTATATACGATTTGGATGCGAGCAAATGGTCGAACGAACGATAGTGTGCCGGTCTTTTTCAATGGAAGAAATGTGCTCACGTTCATGTGAAGGCTGTTGTTTGCATAGTCAAAGACGTGCTTTGGTTCTCTCATATCTTATTGAAATGATCGACATAGTTGGAATCAAAGTTTTATGTAAATTTTAATGTCTGGATGCATAAACTCGCTCTAAGTTCATAAAAAAAGAGAGCCGAACGGGCAGAAGGAAACAAGAATATTGAACAGAAGAAGAAGGAGACAGACAAAAACACACACACACACACACACAAGGCATTGACTAGTTCTGATCAACTCGACCAGTGCCCTCCGAATCCCCCTTTTAAAATATTAATAATGTTGAACGCTGCCAAAAACATCAAATAAATTCGGGCAAAATATTGCAAGCAGCAAAAGGCGCAAGTAATCGCTGTAGTGGCCACATAAAACTGAAAATTTCATTTCTTTGCCCAGAGAAAGTTTCTTTTGTTTCACTATCTGTACACTCTCTCTCTGTGTCTCTGTCTCACTTTCTGTCTTTCTCTAGTCCCGCACTCTCATTTTATGCAATAGCATGCCAAGTCAATACGAACCCGAACACACTATGAATAGAGTTTAAACTTCATCGGAATGAAAACCGAAAAACTTTCCTCTACATTGTATTGCATAATGGGTTCGAGACACAGAAAACCCCTCGAGTTAACTTAATTTACGATATTTTTTTCCTCTAAAAAATCGATGATACTTTCTATTCTCTCTGCGTTTTAAAAACGCCGTTTTTCGTCTTATTTTGTCTCGATGTCATAAATTTTGTTTGGTTTACTTACAGACTACTTCCATTCGTCCTTCGCCTTCAACGGAAGAAAAATTCGGTGCTTCGGCTGATATTTCACAACGGTAGACTCCACTTGATTTTATATTTAGCCGTCTTATCATCACTTTCACGTCATTCGATGATTGATGCTGTTAAAAATGAAATTGATAACCATGCATAAAGTAATTGTACGAAATTGGCATAGATTTTCCACAAAAATTTCCAAAATTCCAAATAACAATCTATCTATTCATATATTGAATTTTTTTAAGTTAGCTCCAATTCACATGTATTTCAAATGCATAATCAATTTTAATTATAACATTCAATTGACACATCAGAAAAAAAACGACATGACTTTTGTTTCAATTTGCAACATGTTTGTGTTTAAAAACGTGCTTATTCTCGAATCCATCCTATATCTCGAACATGTGGAAATATTTTGCATATTACATATTGAATTATTTTGTTCAATTATATTAAACACATTGCACACCTTTTAATTGACGAATGTCGCATTTTGAGTATTTTTTCTCTTGTTTCGTCTGTATTTTGTATTCGTTCGATTGGATACAAGTAAAAAAGACAACTTTGTTGTCATCAATTCAAATAAATTCATTTCTCTGCATATTAAACTGTGTTGTATTCTCTCAATAAAGTTTAAAGTTGTTCAATGAATTTCCGACAACCAATCCCTCGACTCGAACAATAATAAATAATGAAAATTGCATTGAACAACTCAATATAAATTGGAGCATCAATTTAAACTTAATTTTCCACTGAATTCATTTGATGCAATGAATTTGCTTCTCAACGTAACCAACACATCGCAGCATAGTTCATTGAAACTATGGCAACAATGTAGACATCTGATGATCCAATGCACTGCTTTTTTTCGACCAGAAGCGAAAACCATGAATAACAACAGAAAAGTGAAACTAATATTTTATCATTATTTTTCATTGTGCAATAAATTGCGTTCACAAATAAAAGTATAATGAGAAAATATGCCTTGGTTTGTTGTCACTAAATGAAAAAAAGAGTTTTAAGCATCCAGTTCATTGTGCGTTCGTACAATTATTTATGTTTAGTTTTAATACCGGGATTGACAATGACACATCGTTAACAAGCCACCACCGGCAAAAGGACTCGCCGAATGTCAACCACCTTTTGGCATCAATTAGGGGAATTGTTCTAATGATGTTGTGGTCGAACGCTCAGAAAGTTCTACTCACGGATCAGAGCCTTCCATATCCAACTACCTACGGTTGCTGCTATTATTGAAACTAACGAGGTCAACAAGAGAGAAACAAATACTTTTTTCCCGGAATAAAATACACGATTCTTGCGTTGAAACGTTGAATAATAAAATTTATTTGGATATATCCGTTGGAAATGTTCTAAATTGTTGTGAAACATTCAATTTTCTACTAAAAGTATTAATGCAGTTTTCGTTATTGTTTTCATCTCTCAATACCAATTCACGAACGCATATTCGTATATCGCAGTTGACAAAATATCTAATTTGTGTTTTATAACACAACCAACAATTGACCACATGCTCAAAATGTTTGGATACAAGTGGCTTGGTTCCAACAGGAACCTAATTTGATTTTTTTTTCTTTTCCTTTGAGGGATAAACCTCAAAATAACCCCATTTATGGAAAGCATACGCAAAAACGATAAATGATACTTGGGTTATTTCGTGGTTTTTTTTTCTCACTCCAAATAATCGCGCGTTAACCTTTGGGAAAAAATCGCATTGAAAAACTCATTGTGATCAGCCTACTGTAGCGCAAATTTAAATTAATATGATACTCTGTTCGTAAACCGTGAAATAAATTGGATGCGGAAATAAATTTCCAAGGAAGAGAGATAATGAACGCAAGGCAAGAAGATGGTAAAAAAACGAAAAGCGTAATGCCGGAATTTAAGAAGATGCTGAGGATAAGCACAACACAAAAGACGTGGAGAATGTGTGCGCGCTCGCGCTCGTGCTCGATGAAGAGGCAACGTTGGCGTGGGGGCGGCGATGTAACATTTTTTTTGCTTGTGTCTGTGGTTATTTCATAAACGATTAAAATAGCAGAAATCATATATATAAAACGAAATGAATGTTCCATCTTCATAATATTTTAAGTACTAGATATTTGTCTCTCTCTTTTCCGGCGGTTGTTCGGTCGCTTGTTTACCGGTCGATGTGGCTTTTATGTATCCACAATTTAGTTCAATGATTGAGAGTGAAAGAGAGAACGAGCTTTGTGCGTTTCTTTTTCCATTCTTTTCTTTCAATTGATGCTTCATTGCATCAGATTAAAGTTGCGTCTGGTCCTAAATTGTATTTTTATGTAGAGCTCTTTTTATAACAAGCGAAGGAAGAAGAAAAAAAAATATACAAAAAAGTTGACAAAAAAATGGTTGAAAAGAATAGAAGACGCTTTTGGTCGAGAGAGAAAACCAAAGAAGAAGAAAAACCATGACCGAAAGCAATATATTAAATATAAAAAGAAATGAGAACTGGAGCTGTTAGCATAATGGAACGGTATGACATTTGAAGTTGGTGTCACTGTCGACGCGTTCATTTTTTTTTTCGCTTTCTTCATCATAAGAAATGCTTTTGTGAACATGCACAGTACAATACAGTGATTGTGATACTTACATCAACGCGTACACCATCCACTCGATAGCTTTGTTGCGGTGGATTGGCCTTCGGTACGTAGCGATAAAATTCCTGGTCATAGAGTAATTCATATCGTTAGAGACAGTTTGGTTCTATCTTATACAAGTTGTTTTTATATTTTATCTTACCTCATTATCTTTGTACCATTTCACCGCATACAGTGTTTCCTCTTCATCCGACGAAATATCGTCAATGGTTCCGGCACCGCCGCCGTTGCCATCATCGTCTCTATTTCGAAGGTGATCAATTCCATTGTTATCGTCTGATATCGATGTATGTATTGATCTGTGACCGTAATCCTTATTGTTACTGAAACGGTTGTGATAATTTCGGCTGCTGCTACTGCTGCTCTTCAGCTCGTATTGGCATTCAAGCAACGCCGCTTCGCCATGAAATTTGTACGTGGGTATGACGATTTTTGTCAATTCCAAACTAAATGCGTCTGCAAACAAAAGAAAGAGGAAATCTCTTTGTTAATCAAAATCTGTATAAACGATAGGCGAGAATGTGTATATGAATGGGAAACGGAACACGAATCGCATTAAAAATGAACCCCAAATGTGGAGTGTATGCGTGCGACAATGTCCATAAGCCATACATCATCATAATCATCATAATCATCGTCATTATTATCATCTCTTGACTGCTATTAAAACAGTTTTAAACGGAAATAATAATGGACTTAGTCGATGAACTTTTGACACAGGTAACGGACAAATTGTATTTCGTTGGAAAATCAGCTGCATTGAATGTATTATTATTGATACGATCTCTGGGATGCATTTAAATCCTCTAATGGGTAAATATTCTCAATGGCTCTATTATTTATTCGCCACGGTCTTGCTTAATTAAAATCAATTATCAGATAGTTTATCGGGAAAAATGGAAAGAGCCTTTCATACATAGTTGTCACTTGTACCAAGGCATTTGCTGGCACTACCTCAACAATGAACATATTGTAGTTGCCGTGTGAGAACTAATAAATTCTTAATATCCATAATCTTCAACTTTCAATTATCACTCGCATTTTATCATTTGTGGTATTGTCAATATGGTTCAGACTGTGTTATCTGAGGCTTCGATTAGCGATCTAAATATAATGAATTAATCGATTTTGCCTCTATTTGATATTCGCTTGGCGTCTATTGTGTTCGAAATGTACGTGGGTGTATTGTGGGATTGATGTTTTTTTTCTCATTTGGTTTGCCGTTCGGTTGAAAATTGTTCATCAATAACAACAAGTCCTACTAAATAATTTACCAAATTCACCGAAGATTTGTTTCGTTCCGCTGTTGCGCTGATACTAAGGGATTTGCCTGTCTGTATTTCCATGTTCGATTTCAATTTCGATTCTCTTTTTTCTCACCCTATCTGTCTCTCTCACAATCAATTTCCAAATATTAAATAATACTCTGACTTTTCGACGGATCGATGTGCCGCGTCATCCATCCATGTGCTTTTGATTTTTAATTCATGGAATTTTGAAATTCGTGATACGCTGGGATTTTGTAGTCGGATAATAGTAATAATCAATTCACTGAAATGAATTTTCTCTCTCCCCCATCTGATCGTTATGGCCATGCAAAGGAGACACGGCACGGCACGGCACACATTGATACTATAAATAAGAACATACACACACACTCACCAAATTTCAATCTACATGAAAAAAAGCACTCGTAATGCATGCAAACTCTTGATTTTTTTGCATTTTTCTTCTTTCTGTGCCATTTTTATGTTCTCCGCAGTAAATATCCGAACGACAGCCATTCTCGATAAATGAGCAAATAGAAAATTTGGTACATACACCAACGGCATGGGAAATTGTAGCTTTGTTCTCAATTCGTTGAAACACACAACGGCAAAAATAGCCACTTGAAATTGGTTTTTCGGGGCAATGTATGAACAGTAACTACCCCGTTGGCCACATTCACACTGTTTACCAAGTGGACGAGTTTTTGAGCGAAGAGAGGATTGCGACGATTCGTGCTAGTTCCAAAACCAATGCAAGTGGTAAAATTGCAATTTGTATGCTTTTTCCCTATGTATATTCTCTCTCTCTCTCTCTCTCTCTCTCTCTCTCTCTCTCTCGCAGGATGTACTCTCAGAGTACTACTCTGTTCGTAACGACACACCATATCTCTCGATATCATTGTATTGGTAAATATTATGGTTTTCGCGCGATGCTAACTTTTCTCCCAAACGAATCGGAATTGAAACTTCCGAATCCGTATTTATTGTATTTTCTATTTCCGCACACGTTTGCTGTGCTCGTCGAGTGAACCATACCAACAAAAGCAAAAGATATATGAGATATGTAAATATTGGTTGCCATCGATTGGATTCGATACACATCACATTTTTGGAATTTCATGGTAAAATATTTTGCCGGAGTATTTAAATTGGCTTTAATGCGACAGTCAATACAGACAGAGACAGTTAAGCGCAAATCTCTGCCATAATATCAAAATGTAAGAGATGATTTCTGTTTTTTTTTTTTAAATTTGAATTAAAGGGAAATTGCCATGGATGCCATCATCAGTCGCAGACGAACTTTATTATATATTGAGTGTGGAACAGAATTATGGATAAGTTGGTTGAAAGTTTGTTGTTTCTTGTGGTGAATAAAATCCACTTAAAAATTTAATAAGAGCACTGGATGGAAAATGTGACGGCCCATGTAGTAGAGCGTATACCTATACAGAGTATTCAAACGTCCACTCAAATGAGACTCATCAAGTTTTAACCACGAACAACAGTTTCACTGCAATTAAAATACGATTTTCTTTTGAAAAAGAAACCATAAACGTGAACAACTCAACAGTGTGTTTAAGTGCTTTTTACTTCATTTGGAAACAAAGTTTTAAAAGTGCATACACTGCACTGCACCGCATATTGTGCCATTGGGAGACATAATCTCAATTTAGGTCAGAAAATCCGATAGATATTAATGATTAATCTCTGTTCCCAAGAGCGAACACCATTTTACTCATACTCTATTGCCATTTCTTTCCCTTTTTCTATTTACTTTTGAAACCATGCCAATTTATCCGATTTATCAATATAAATTCCGGACTTTTATTTGGTACAATGTGCTAAAATGCAATTTTAGAGCACTGAATAGCATGATTTGCTGGTTTCATATCCGATTGCAATTGGTGCGTGACATTTGAATGGATAACTTTGGCCGCACACTTACCACGATTATATCTGCCAAAGCAAAAGTATGTGTAATTTTTGACGTTGCCACAGAAATGGTTGCCACATGTCGCACGTGACTGTGCCACATATTTAGTGTCTATGTGTGTATGCAAAAACTGTCACATATTCTAATCGCGGAATTGCTCCAAATTTGCAAATAGTTTAAATATAGGAAGTATGACATACAAAGTAAAATTGTCTGTTTCAAGGTTTGGTTTTTGCTCACTCATATCATTTTTGGAATATATATATGAATGAGCAATGTGCTTTATTCGTTTTAACCCTCAACTGCATAAGCCCGCCTTTTGGCGGGCATCATTTAAACACCTGTATAATGTGAATCGTACGGCGGATGACATTGCTTCAAGGGGAATTTTTATTTGTCAATGTTTTTTCTTTATTTTTGTCTTTGGCGTCATTTGTTTATGTCGTACGATTGGTGAGTTATAAACAAAAATGTGAACAAAAACGAAAATTTGACAAAATAAATTATTCGGTTTCCAAATTAGACATATTTTTGACACTTTTAAACAATGGATTTCATTGTTCTCTGACTTATTTCTATCGCATTTCCTGACTAAACCATGGGATATCTAGGATTATGAATATTTTTTTCGTTATCTATGGCCAAAAATCAACCAAATACCAGTACTCCCAGTCCTAGGAAAAATTCATGCAGTTGAGGGTTAATTTTGAAAAGACTGTCAAATAATGAATTTGAGCCTTGTCATACATTTAATTTATACCGAAAATTGTTCTCTCCAAAACTATTTTGAATAGCATTCGATTGAATAGCTAGTAACCGTCATCAACTATGAATGGATCACAGTTAAATGATGACATAACAAATCAATGTTGAATGCTACGGTGGAAAAAGTAAAATAGCAAATCCGATTGTAATTAAGAAGAACTCCGGAAAAAGCTCGTTTCAACCATTTCCGTGGAAAATCGCTTCTTTTTGGCCGCAAAAATAGAAATCCTCATAAAATAGTCATAAAAGCAGTAAGTGTTTTTTCGACGATTTTATGGAATATGTATTCGAAGTTCTTTTTTTTTCAATAAGTGAGAAAGGGTATTGGTTATTGTTGCTAGAATGGACTGAAAGATTTATCGATTTGCATAAAATTCTTAATGGACTTTTGTATTACGTTTTCACTCTGAATTATGCGCAATACCAAAAATAGAAAAGCAAATAATTTTTTTTTCATTCGAATCGAAAAAGCTTTCACTTACATTTATAAAAGACATACAGAGAGAAAAGTGAAACAAATCAATTGCCATTATTGCCAAAGCGGGAAAATGGAAATGATTTTTCGAGGCTTTCGCAATGGATATACACAAATACATGATTGTAAATTGGCTTTTTCGTGGATGTACCGACCATTTAATTGGCATACATTTTGCATAATTAATGGGCAATGAGAAAAACTAAATGAATAAACGGTTATTGAACCAGAAATCGAACAAAAGAGATAGAGATAATGTCCCATTTCAAATGATTGCAATGGAATAATACAATTCCGTTACACATGGTTTGTTGCGTTTATTTGTTGTGGCATAGGAATCGATTTCATTTTAAATTCTGTTTTTTCTTTCTCCGATGTTAATTGGTGGCTTTGCATGTGTTTGGCTCAGCTTCAACAAGAGGCCGTGCCGCGCATACGACGCAGTTGGATGCAAAGTGGAAATGGTGGGGAGAAAATGAAGAGATTTAATCGAGCGCGATATATGAATCAAATTGAATTTAATTGACACATTTCACGAGCTGAATACGATTTTTAATTTCTTCAGTGTCGTCAAATCTCTCGCATCACAAAAGTGGATGATTTGATACACGCGCGTAAATTTATTGCTTCATTAAATCCATTGCACACGCTCTGTCTCACATGAATTTATGTACATGTGAGCTGAGCGCTGCACATCGCGCGCGTCACATAGTCAACACAAACACACACACACACACACACACACACACACACACACACACACACACA